GCATTTTATATGTATGTAAAAACGCATAAAAACTGGGTTCTTAAAAGAGAAGTTTTCGTCGAATATACCCCTTTTTAGCAATTTATTCAGCAAGTCCTTGATGCTGTGCATTACAAACGCCCTTTAGGAAGTTCAAGAAGGGAAGAGGGCAAGGGGTCAGATTAGTGATGCAAATTAGATATGCATATTTGCTAAATAAGCTGTGGCCTGGAAAGTGGTATTACAATGTTTATCTAAGCATTACTGTACTGTGCAAACAAATTTGATCTGCCTCGATGTGATGAGCAGATGTGGATAACATCGTTTTCACAACCTCTTAAGTACCTTGTATCGCCCATCATCCCTCATTTTCCTCCCCTCCCTTCCCCCTTGCCCCTTTTTACTCCCCTCCCTCCACATCTGCCCACCGCGCTCAGCTCCATTCCCCTTTTTCGCTTCGCTCTTTGGCCGATTTTTGCAACTGTAATCTTTCTAATCGCTAATCGACCTCTTGATACCTTCAACATTCCACTTTGATAGCTATTTCGGGTGCTCTTTTAAGCAACAGATTCTTCGGGCAAAATGAGGAGGTAAGAGGTAAGGAAGGGCCTCCCCCTCTACAAGAATAGGCACAATAGTATGTCACTTTTTATGAAAAATTCGTTAGCGTTTAATCAAAGTCATGTCAGGTTTCTGGATATTAGTTGCATCCAATCATCTCTTTAAAACTGCCCTTTTATGCGTTTTTTGCACCTGTGCAATGCAGATAACGCATATTGACGAGGGGTTGTTTGTCTGTGTATTTGTGCGTCTGTGTGTCTGCGTGTGTGTCTGTACCGATTTTTCATCTCAAGACCTATAAAAGCTGCAGGGCTGAAACTTTGAGAACTTAATCTACATGCAAGTACGGGTCCCAATCCTCAAAATAGGCGCATTTACCCACATGGTACGGGCCCGCCAAAATTTTTTTACGGGCAAGTTACTAACTCAGGAACCAGAAATGCTGGAGGGCTGAAATTTTAAGGGGACGTTTCACGTCCACGCAGAGGGCTCAAACCTAGCACCCAGCCCCCGGATATGCGTGATACCCAAGTAAGGGACCGTAAAAGTTTTTTTCCAGGTAAATTGCTAATCTGAGATCCTGAAAAGCTAGAAGACTGGAATTTTGAAGGAATGTTCCTCGTCGAAGTAGGTATTAATGAGCTCAAACACAGCCCCCCGAGTTTGTGTGGTACCCACGTACGAGCCCGCAAAAGTTTTCCAAGAATAAGTTGCTAACTCGGGAACTTGGGAAGCTAGAGGATTGGAATTTTAAGGGGACGTTCCCCGTCCAAGTAGGTGTTAATGAGGTCAACACAGAAACCGGGTATGCGTGGTACCCACGTACGAGCCAGTGAAAGTTTTTTACGGGTAAATTGTTAACTCGGAAACCCAAAAAGCTAGAAGACTGTAATTTTAAGAAAATGTTCCCCGTCCACGTAGCTGATAATGGACTCAAACCCAGCCCCAGGTGTACATGTTTCCTATGCACGGGCCCATGAATTTTTTGATGGGTAAGTTGCTAACTCGGGAGCCAGGAAAGCTGGAAAGCTGAAATTTTAAGGGGATGTCCGAGAGTCCTGGCGGCCAGTCTTAATTTATTTCGCTAGAAGTATTTGTCGGAAAAACCGGTGCCGAGAGCGACAAAAACTGCGAGGAACTATACAAAAAACGCATTTTCGCACCGGCAGCCGGTGCGTTAGCCAGTTATTGTTCTTGTTGCCAGCTACAACTCGTTGTTTGAAATTTCAAAAAACTTTTAAAAACAACAATTACTTAGGTATGGTTCAAGAATCGGCGGGCGAAATATCGGAAGAAATTGAGGAACATAGCCGGTCCGGAAATTTCTCCACCAATCTACGTTCCCAAATACAACACAGTTATCAGTAAGTAAATTTTGTGGATATCCAAACAGTCCTAAGCACTAAACTAGCTAGGAGGTTTTTTCACACGCGACATTCTTTCCTTGTTTTCACTTGACAAATGCAGCTCAAAAACGCATTAAGCCTGTTTGCGTTCGTTTGGTTTTATGCATATATATATATATATATATGTATATACATATGTATATATATATATATTTACTTCAGATGAATAACTACAAAAGCTGGAAGGCAGAATTTTGTAAGGGCCACTAAGCTTTCTCGCAGGTTAAAATACCGCGGCAGTTTAGTTCGTTTCTTGTCTGAGGAACTGTCAAATCATCCGCGTCCGTAACCATCCCAAATCTTTATTATCCTAAAGGTGCATAAAAAATCTCAGATACGTAAATGATTTAGTTGTCATGAAAAAATTTCAAAACGAAATCAGTCAAAATCAGCTAAAAACCCTGCATAGCGACTAAACTGTTCTGCTTTGCCGTAAAGTTGCAACTTATGGTTGAGGCGGATTTTTTAGTTATGTTAGCAACATACTTTTGTAATCCAAGCAAAGCAGTCCTCTTCAAGACAGACTTTTGCTCCCGATTCGAATCATTAAATATGGGATCTAATCCGTGGCACCAAAGAACGAACTCTAAGGCAGCCTTAGATCTCGTATATTGTTGAGCCCCCTGTCAGTCATTACAAAAATTAAAAAGATTAAAATTTAACCAAATTGCAGCGTGGAGGCCGAACAGTTCGTTGGCTTGTGTGCTGCCTGTTCAGGAATCTCAGTTGCGCAATAACACCGCTGCATTTCAGCCTTTCAATGCAACTAACAAAAATGAAGAGTGGTTTCAAAACAATGGTGTAAGCGAATAGCAGCACCAGCAGCAGTGCTGCATACTGTCATCGTCTCCTAGTTCTACTAATATCAGTGCAGTGTCAAGGAAAAGCGGCTCTTGGAATTAGAGCATAAAAGAAGATCGAAGATTTGTGCCATGGTTTACTTTGTGGTCGGCGGCAACTGTTTCTAAAATTTTTGCTCTCGCAGTTGCATTGATAAATTATCATAATACATACAAACACGCAAACATACCTACGTGCATACAAATTTTTCGCATTTTTTTGATTTATGCAATATTTGAATGCTTAGATTAGTTGCACT